CCATTTTGAGATAGAGCTCCCAACAACGACTCTGTACTCTAGAGGACAGGATACACCTGATCCATCTAAACATTCTTCCTCGAATTCCTACATTCAAAATCTTGTGTAAGAGAAATCAGTGTGGGACTCTGTCAGTGGCCTTTGTGAAGTCAAACAATACGACATCTATCAAAATGACCCCTGCCCACTTCGCATGCGAATAAAGAACGCTAATAAGGCAAGAGCGTTCTGGACGAAAGCCAAATTGGGCATCACCGAATATTTTGTCTTTTTTTCCGAGTATTCCATTCAATGTTTTTTGACAATGTACTCCATTATTTTACACGCAATGCAAGTTAGACTGACAGGTCGATAATTTTGGGAGTCAAGTCGTGAACCTCCTTTATTGTTCGATATTATGGGTGCGTACTTCTACCGTTCCGGGAGTTCGCCTTATTCAAATTACTTTTGAAATATTATGTACAGTGGTTCGTACAGTTCATTAGCAAGTTGTCGAAGTGCAAATTCAGGAATTTGATCCGGACTAGGCGAGTTCGCAGGCTTAAATTGATGTAATTCAGCTCTAACTATGGCCGATGAAAAGTGTGAATCCTCGACTGATGAGAGTGGGGAAAGGGAAAGAGTGAGAGAATCGGGAGGGGGAGTAGGAGGAGACGTTGGCTGACGAACGGATGAAGGGGAAAATGAAGAATTAGGTTCTTCGGAGAAGACGGACTGAAAGAAATTAGCAAGGAGACGCCTTGACCTGGCCGTCAGTCTCCAGTTATCCGTCTGCAGATGTGGGGGTAGGGATCACTTCCTGAGTTCTTTTAGTACTCCGTATAAAGCCATTTTGAATTATTGGGTGCTCCAACTAATTATGCACTATGTCCAGTTCGAACTTCCCTCCCAGCCTGGAAGTGTAACTTTTGCAACAAGCATTCCGCGTCCGAATCGGTCTCAGTGGACATACTCGGATCCAATGCGCCGTCAACCCTACGTCTGCCTCTTTTCCCGGTCCCGCCCCTGTCGAGCGCCCCGCACCGACCGCCACACCCATCACCGCCGACCACACTGTCGCTGTTTCGCGGCCGCCGCCGTCACCATCCGACCCGCCCCAATCGACCGCAGCAGCCAGCAACACCACGCGTTCACGCACTCATCCATCGATGGGACGACATCTGATGTCCCATTATCAACACACACCTCCAGCGTCGTGGACTCGGCTCATACCTGCCCCCATTGCGATCGAATATTGGCCTCACACATCAGCCTGGTCGGTCACTAGCAAATCCATCGCACGGAGACTGGCGAACAAGTGCCTGGAGTACCGATTTACGCTCACCGCACCGAACAAAACCGCCCTTACCACCTCATACACTCACCCACCGCATGGGCTTGTTAGGTCACATGCGCATCCACGAGAACCTGCGGTAGACTACCGCCGGTCACACCACACACCTCCGACCAACAACCACACTGCACAATAATACCACAACTCCAAGTACTCGACCGTCACATTCCATGCAAATGAAAAGTGCGGTTCCCGGCTCCGTCTCCATGCGGTTCCTCCACTGTATGCGTGATCCGAGTCGGAGACTATCCCGGTGTGCCAAACGCCCTGGCCTGGAAGGCTGCCAACCGACGCCTCGACTCAGTTCACACAGTCTGCCCAGTTGCGTGCGTTTGTGTGGATTGGCGGGCTGAGAGCAAGGCTGTCACGGCTCCTTCTTAAAGTGACCTGTGACACTCACGCACGTGAGGAGTGTGTTACTTGATGGGTATTGCCCTTCAGTCACCGACCGACTGGCTACCCAGTCTTTGCGGGCTGGTGTCCCGGACAAATGTCATCCTTCTGAGTCTCGGGGCTTGTGGGCGTCTGCTGTGCCATGACCAGAAAACCATGGCCCACACAGCCTGATGTCCACTGGCAGTTCTCCGGTACCTGGTTCCCTGGCACTAGATGAGCTTGCACTCCCGCTGGTTATACGGGTCGCGTGCATGGCTGCCCAGTCATCCATGTTCTTTCTGTTGGTTAAAATTCTAGAGAAGTGTTTGTTGTGGACTAGGGGGTGCGGAGTGGAACGCCAAGGTGTGAGTCCGGCCATGTCAATCACCTGTGCCCTCCCCGCCTCCGGTCTTCTTGACTCTGTCTTGACACCGGAACCAGCTGGGAGAGAAGTGAGTGCGGTAGGCACTGCGTAAGTCTACCCTCGGTATAAACTAATTCCCGCACTAGTCACTGTGGCTGCCTCATCTTGCTGTGGAGCACACGGTGGACATCGCCGGATGCGACGGTCCAACTATCATTACATAGTACACGAACTTACCGACCGCGTTTGACTGAGACGCAGCGCGCATGTCGTCAGCACCCAGCGAAGCGACCGGCTAATTACACCAAATAAAGTAGACATGACCATTTACTTCTACAAGGCAGATATTCTGAGTTTACTGGCTTTTTCCTGACTAACTTACCTAAATGCTAACAAAGGAAGAAGGTTGAGACATGGGCCTCGTTCGAGCGTTTATGATTACAATACGGCCTTAAGGGCGAAAGTTTGCTGGTCTCTGTGCCGGAGAAGAGCGGGTACCCACCCAAGGAAAGATGCTGAAAATAGAGGATAAAGAGGATGCAGAAGTAGATAAATGGTAAACAACGCCAGCAGCGTATTTGCTGCGACACAGGAAGTGGACAAAAAAAGTGGTCTGAAGAAGCCACCAAAGCGTCACTGCCGGGCCGGAATGCTCGGCAGAGGAAAAAAAGCTGCTTGCTCGTAGGCATGCAGAGGCACACGCACATACGAAGATAGGTGTGTGTGAGATAGTGAGCATGAACTGGTTGTTTACAATAAGAAGACTAGTTCTTTTTATCTGGCTTCTCGGAGTTGGCTTTGCCCTCCTCCTCGGCAATCATTTCGTCCACATCGGAGGAGGCTGCAGCCGGTGCGTGTGATGAGAGAGCCGATTCGGCATTGTTCTCGGAGCGTTCTGTGTCCATAGGCTCGGGCTTAGCAGCCGCCTCAACTGGTTTTGAGGCACTAGCTGTAGCTGTGGTAGTGGTGGTCTGCCCAGTGCTGGACGAAGCGGTCACCGTGGTCGTGGTGTTAGTTGTACCTATCGTTGAATGGGAAGTTAGGAAACAACGTAACGGTTTGACGGCCAGATGCGTATGCAGTCGTGATGACGCCACCGGACTAGGTATCCACTTGCGAAAACCAAAATGTAATGATTTTGAGAAGTATCAACAGGTTCACTACCATAGACACTATCCAGACAACTCGCCATCTTCACAGTGTCAGACACATTCAAACAAATCCCGCTTTACCCGCTTTACTGCAGACGAACGACTCGAACAGATACAGTCGGTAAAACCGGCATGACAACTGAGTGTAGTGAAAATAAAGTAGGGGAAGCGACGACATCTACCTAAGGCAATACCGGAAGTCAGAATCAAGCTAATAAAACCATATAAAGTTTACAGAAAGGATACAAAGATACTCTTCATAAACATGGCCGAACCGACGACCCATGAAGAGTCAAGACTCTGATCCAGTTGGGTAACTGAAATCTGCCTTCAGAGGTCAGAGATCTCTATTACGCTACAGAAAAAAGCTTTACAGACATTATTACACCCACTGCTTGGCTTCTACTTCCTTCTCCCATTCAGGTGGGAGTTGCGATAGTCCCTTCCCGGACTCGCGTAGTGTGGCTTTGTAATTAGTAACAAATATGTGCCTAAGAAACAATAAAGCTATTCGGTGTTAAAAGACTTGATTTATTTTTCTCTAAATCAGTTAGGTTAACAATGTCTGTTGACTGATACTTTGAGCCCTACCAATGAGTAACGAGACCCAACTAACACGGATTCAAACTGAGGGAGGGTTTATGCAACAAAAGGCCTGTCTCACCTGTCGCTGAAGCGCCTGCAGTTGTGGCCTCAGCATTCACACCGGTATCATCATCTTCAGTCCATAAGAAGGGTTCCGGTGGGCCTGGTTCGTGGGCCTTCTCAGAAGTGCCCTTGCGCCCGCCTGCACCAGAACGACCAGTGCCGCGTTTCCCCCCAGCTGCTGCCGAATGAGCGGCCATGGTTGAGAGGGTAGTGGCGAAGTCATCATCATCAGCGACTGCAGGTCCGTAGTCGTCGTCATCGTCCACATCCTCATCCACTTCGTCGTCGGCCTCTTCCTCATCCTCTTCATCAACATCATCGTCCTCAGCGTCGCTGATGGACGCATCGTCGTCATCACCCTCATCATCGTCCATCAAAGCGCCGACAGTGGAGGCGTGAATGGGAAGGCCAGCTTCCTCCTCCTCCTCGGCGGCCGTGGCTGCAGCACCACCGGAACCACTGGCCTTTGTGCCTCCAGCGGCATTCTTGCCCGAGAGACCAGTAGTAGGACCATGAGGTTGTACCTCCTCAACCAGTACTTCCTCCTCATTAGGCTTCCGGTCGTGGACGAGCAAAATGCCTCCCTGAAGAGTAGATTAAGAGACCTATCGTCAAATGCGAGGTGCATCGTCGATATCGTCGAACTGCGGCCGGCAACAGAAACTAGGTACCGTAGTTTTTCGCCGCCTCTTGCCGTTCGAATCGTATTCGATTCCAATTTGCCTACAATTATGACATACTGAACGCAGTACAATGCTAAATGTCATTAGGGAATCTCAACGAGGACCGACTCCAGGCCGGGTAAACAACGGTATCTTGAGTGCAGGTTGGATTAGATAAGGACTCGCAAAAGATCGATTCCACTATGGTTTTTGCCACCCCACAGTGTTTCACTGGAAAGATAAGTGGACGTCGAAACTCATAACACGTAAAGTGAGATATCAAAACAGATAGTATGATCGGAAATATTACTTAAATAAGGCCGTAACACCGATTTGTATGGATTACATTCATAAATTCACATATGCATGCAAAGATTATTGGCTTTCGTTTGTGGATATTTCCAACAACCAGCATCAATCGTATTCACGTAAGAATCACAACTTAAACAGAGCCCATTGTTTTGCACGGAAAAGGTGCACACGTTCGTCTGTTATGCTCAGTTTGTAGGAAGGCATTTGCAGAAATGAGGTATTTGGTTTGAAAAGTGTGCTGTTATTCGTGTGGTTTAATATCCGCTACTTATGGAGTGCATACACTGCCCCGTGTCGAGTGTAGTCTTTGGTGAGCAGAAAGTTTGAGTGTTGGGCAGTCCGAAAACATTGAAAACACGACAATACGCAGGCTGTTTCCAAATTCGCAGAAACTTTTAACTCCCATAATGCCTACACCCCGCTATAGCTACAAACTGTTCCGGAACTGCAACGTTTATCTTCTAAAGCACATCTGGCGCAAGTTCATACGTGGTGAGTATGAGAGACGAGGTTTTGGCACAACCTTTCTAGGAAACGTGACTGAATTTACAAAAATATGAAGGACGGGTGGAACGTAGCGCCCACGGCGAGCTGCGCCGCAGTTGCATGCCTTGAAGATTACCAACTGACAGGATAACTCAGCTCTCCTTAGGACTGACACTCGGGCTGCGGTGACCCCCTCCTTAATGTGCCCTTTATGGCGCCTCCACCTGTGTGAGATCCGAGCCGCCCTTACGGCAGTCTGGCACAGGCAGCGCAGATCACCAGGTAGTGTGTGTGGCACGTGCAGATGGGCAGCTTCGTTCTACCATCAATTTCGTCCACGTCTACCTCTAGTCGGCCTGACAACCTTTTCACCGGAGCCAGGTGGGTGCAGGAGAACAGGTGTTAGATGCCGCATAAGTCGGCCCACTATAGGCTAGTTCATGCCCAAGTCATCGGCGCTGCGTGTGGCACGCGGTGGTATGATATTCCGTGCCATTCCAATCTGGACGCACGCCCAAAATTGCAGTCAACATTTAACAATTTCCTGTACACATTACAGGCAATCGAAGCTAAAAAAAAAACAGGCCTATGGACAGTGACTGCCCTGGAGTTTGTGACTGTTTATACATGCAATGGTCCATGCAGAGACACGAGTTGTCAGGAATTAACAGCGGGATGCGATTGCGACCCAACTTTCAGTCCCGAAAACAAATTTAGTCCGTAAGTTGGTAACCGTCAAAAACACGACTTTTGTGCGGTCCTGACAGCCCAAAACATGTCATATGTATTACGGCGAATAAATAACCAAGCAAAATCAGTCGATCTCGAGTTCCATTCTCGCACATCTTGTCGATACGAATCACGGAGTCGATGCCCAAGAAGCCTTTCAGATTGTCTACCGGACACCAGCAAACTTCTCCGGCGGCCTACGCCAACGGGTGCTACCTACAGATGAGGCAGTGGCTATACGGCTAGCCAATCCAGTGCTATGCTGTCAAATGACTCTGACACAGGCGCTCTGTCTTCCGTGGCCAACGCCGACCCCAACCTCCTGATGGCAATGGTGTATGCACAACGTACACGACATACAAACATGACTCAGCCTATGTCCCCCCTCTCCCTTTCCCCTTTGACCCAATGACCACGACACGCCGACCACGCCATAGCACGCCTCGTCATGCAAGTGGCGTGGGAACGATGGGTGTTAATAGTCCCTGAATCCCTTATAAGCCCTGTAACTTCGCATAATTTAAACTTCTTTGTAACCGTTTTGGCCTGATGAAGAGTTACCGAAAACATGTGTTCGCCAAACTGACTTTTCAATTGTAACGTGGGAATATTCGCTGAACTTACAAAACCAGTCTACTTGTTTTTCCCTCATCGTGCATTAGTATCACGACGGACTCAAATCGGCCATAAGCGAGATCAGTCGCTGACCAGGCATTTCCTCAAAGCCATAAATGATGGTTTAGAGACACGAGGGACGCACTGCAAGAGTACTTCAGTTTACACAACCAGAAGCTGGTTGAAAGCGGATGAGAAAGCAGTATGATTTGGCATATAAACAACCTGCGTGATCGGTTTGATGGTGTAATAACGACTGTCCTCTGGCAGGGTGAGAACGCGTTGCTGGGCGCGCATGACACGGGCAGGATTTGCGAGAAGGACAAACGACGGTTCCTGTAAAGGGGTAAAACCAAATTCGCATGGTCAACACCAAAGACCGTCGGGTTTCAGAAGAACAACTACAAGCCAACAACTAAATCAAAAAAATGTAGATGTACTTCACAAAACCTACTTTTGGCTCTTCCTTGGTAACTTTGGTAGTTTCCGAGGAATCGGAGGCATCGCTGAAAGGGAGCAAGGCCCAAACAGTCCATTAGAGCAACAAAAGAGGCCTTCATAACGCTATAAAACTTGTAATGCGTCGGTCCTTCTTAACCTTCTATAGTTGGCCGTAAAACCTCATCAAACACCGATTGCGGCTTTATTCTTCAACATAATTAGGACGCAGACTAGTCTAACAAAGACTTTCGGTGGAACTTGAAGCAGGAAAAACAGCCGGGACACAGAGTTCTGTTTGGGACTTCATTGAGTATCGGCAGTGGAAAAGGAAATTTCATGGCAGTACAAGTGGTGATGAATGAACAGGAGGGTCGAACTACTATTCATCTCCCTTAAACCGCATAAACTACGCTTATCTATCTTCAAAATGCAACTTAAACAGCAAACTCAGCGAGTACATACGCTAAATGAAATAGTGTGAGGCAAGTACAAAGCCTCGGTTTACACAGACTTACACGTCCATCTTTTCGGCACCGTCAGCCGCTGGGGCTGCTGAGGCAGCAGGTTGAGGCTTCTTCTTCTCAAGCTCCTTTTTGCGGTGTTTAGCCGTAATACTCAACACGGCAGTTTCTACCTTCTCCTTCTTCTTTTCCTTTTCAATTTCTAGGCGAGAGAGACAAAAATGAGCTATCCAGCTCGGCCGAAATGCAAAGAAAGCACGTCGAACCAAGGTTTGAGCCCATAAAATGCAGGGTACTTGCCTCGTATAGAACGGTGAGCCTTGCCTAGGGGCGACTGTACAAGGGTAATCAGCCAGTTTCCGAACCGTACGCACCCACGAACGGTGCTCATAGACCACACTACCGAGTCCGTCGGCTGATGGTACATAAAGTGTAGGGATGTGCGAAATAAGCCGCGACTGCTGTTGTTGTTTGGAGCTTCGATAGCTTGGGGAATGCTTATCTTCCCAAGTTTATGACGTGAATTATTATGTAGTTCAGATTTCCATCGAGAGAAGATTAGCTACAAAGTCACCACTAACTACTCGAAGAGATCCATGACAGCACTCGACCATAGATTTCATAAATGACGTTCCAGGGTGGAGAAATTGGCTTACGACTGTCCCTACTGACATATTCCCCAAAACCCACATTCTCTCATTAATACGTACTCAGACATTTTATCAATCTCCTGCAGGAAATAGATTTCCTAGTACGAGACATCAGACGACGCCTTCGAACAATTCACTGACCGCAAAACGCTATTGTCATGGGACGATCTAACAGGTATCTCAGTGATCAAAAGTCTAAGATTTAAATTGCTTTTATTAGTAGTCCAAGATGGGGTCTGTCTGTTGGCCCAGGTGTGGGCTCTCACGTATGTCCACAGTCAGTTTAGCTCGGATAAATAGCGCGTCTGGGAGAGGGAAGGGTGAGTGCGGTCGATCCTACTCGGATTTGACACACTGTTCCTCACTACAAACGATCAAAGACACTTGGAAACCATCATGGCGGGCTAATAGACGTGACCTTGGGTTGCTAAGTATCGTCGGTCACAGCAGCCATTGCAGGATCGGTCGCCTCCAAATTGTTTCGTCGTTATGACGGAATGAACGTGAAAAGAGAATGAGGTGGACGCAACGTAAAGATCTGCTTCAATACAAGCAAATTTAATTGCGAGTAACCGTTGAGCCCGAGAGGTGGGCACACTGGTGGACCTTGCCGCTTACAAAGGTCTTTCTATTGGGTGCTGGAAAGGCCACAGTAGAAGGCCTTCCGCGAAATAAGCGGGCTTCTATGTCTGAGGAAGGGGCAGTCACCAACCGTACAGCAGCAATACCTTTGAGGCGTAGATTAGCACCGATTTGGTAAATCGGTAACTCAGCAAAAGGTCACGAGCCAAAGCTATACTATGACATGGAAAACGTTGCTCGCCATTCGAGAAGGCTTCCCCCGCGGCAATCCCCTAAGGGGTGAGTTAGGGGTCCACCAAGAGGTCGGACGAGACTGTGGTATCCTTAGCCAATTCCCATGCATATTCACGACTGCCACATTCTGGAAATATCTAAGCCCACCTGGTTCAAAGCCACCATAGTGGTAAGAGCTGATAAACACCTTGATATAGACGAATAGGATATGTGCTGTACACAACTACTACCTCCCCGTATGTAGAATGCAGCCGGTGAATCGGCAACAAGAGCCGGTCAAAAGTAGCAACTGACGATCAAAAGCAGTCCAGTTGGCGGTTAAGACCAACAAAAAGAGGTACGAGCCAATGAAATGCAGTGATTTGTACTGCCAGGCATCATTAGTTTCGGGGAAGGACAGACAACTTACGCAGAGGTGGCGGATATGCGAATGTGGAGGGTTTGGCGTTGGACTTAAAGTTCATTTTCGGCATCTGGAGTTCCTTATTCAGGGCGATAACACACGTGGGTGAGAAGGCCAGACTGATGAAATTGGTCAGTGGGTACCAGAACCAGAAATTTTGGAAGACAAGCAACCCCACTGCTGCAGCCATGTTCGCATTACCAGTCCGAGTCTGGAGGGAGATGGTCATATTGCAGCCACCGGCATCAAGGATGCCGCAGGCCAGAATGGCGCCAAACTTGGCTACTAGGTCTTCATGGCGATCCGAAATGATTTTGAGGCACCGTTCACGGAATTCAACAGACTAAAAATTTTTAAAAACCAAAATGAAAAACTTAGCAGTGATCGGTTCGCCATATACTATCCCTAGCCAGCAGCAGAATTTCCCAAATATACTGATCGACGCAGATGTTTTCTCAAAGATTTGGTTATATCAACTTCAGGCTGCAAACACGACCAAAGTGCCCCAGATATGATTTAACCTATGCCTTGTCACGCCTGATGAAATGTGACTACGCAGTAGTCGAGCGTCCTTTGGCCCTGCGCTATGAAAATAAAATTGGAATATCGACAGCCAGGTCTGGTGGAGCGAAAAGTAAACTAGTGATTGTTAATCATAAAGAAGGAGTCCTCTTCGTCGGCTTTTCCACGAGTCATACCAATTCCTTGGTGCATAAGCAAGACGAAACCGTTGAAAACCGCTTAATGTGCTCAGGCCCTGTAGTGGGAACGAATAGCAGAAAAGTGTTTCGCCTTGTTGGTTAGCAGCAGGCATGGTTGTGATTTCCACCGAGTAACGAGTACTTATCCACAGACCAGCCTCTCAAAGGCCTAAGCTTGAGGTGGTTCGCGGTCCATTTCACACTCAGGACAAACAGGTGAGTGAGTTTCACAAAAAGCCGAAATTTACGATCGCAGCCGACAAAGTGAGGTCATACTTCGGCGATACAGCGTTAGCGTCGGCGTCCCCTGGCGAGCGCACAATTCCAATGTCTAGATCAGGGGTCGGAATATAAAGGAATTACGGAACAAATAGGCCAGAAATGATGCTCCCTGTTTACGCAGACGCGTCAATTTTGATCGCTGATTGTTTGTCAACACGCTACCACCTGAACGGGCTTCAGAGAAAAAACCTTCCATCATGCAGCCAGGCGGATGTAAGCCCTACATCGTGAACATTGAAAAAGTACAAACAGGCCGACAAACACTTTGGGGAAATTGTCGTGGACGCACAAAAACTACGACTTAAAACGCTTGATGGGAACGGAAGATCGAGTGAAAAGAAGCCCCACTGAGTATGTTTTGTGTGGCGTCGCATGCTTCCAGCAGCAATTCAGCTCTCGGACCAGCAATATTGGCAAGGAAAAAGTAGAGACTACCTTGGGACAGGTGACAGCATTCTGCTGCATAAGAATCATCGCCTGGGCGACTAGGGCACCCTGGCGGACAAAGTGCACGGTCCCATCGAGGAGGTTATCCAGCAGACTAATGGCCTCCTTGTTGGCCGTGCCGGCGCAGGCAATACCCACAGCCATAGCAGCACCGTAGCGCAAGTGTGGATGATAGGACTCGGCCAGGAGAGATACCAACGAGGGCACTTGTTCACAATCTCTGCAGATAGCAAAGACCGAATGTTAGGTTGGAACCGTCAGAGGAGGTCAGATTGCAAAAATGAACAGGAAAGGCGCTTACTTGAACATTACAAAGCCAAGTGCAGTCAAGGCCCATCGACGGACATCGTCGTTATTGTCACTGACGGCAGCATGCAACAGCCTCTTGACGGCAACGTTGCTGTTTGTCCCACAGTATGCCATAGCAATCGTAGCCATCCCACACCAACGCAGAATAGGGTCTGTGTCCTTTGGAGAAAAAAGACGAAAGAAGCAATAAAGACAAAAGGTTAGACGGTCTTGCAACGGCCGTGATGCAAGCATAGCATCAAATTAGCAGACAGTTCGAAACGGAGACGTCCATCTGAGTTTTCGACTTGAAACACTGCGGCTCAGGCAGCCTGCCCTGTCGACGCATCGGGAGGACGGGTAACCTGTTGGCCTAGCGGCTGACTACACGGAGCATCCACAGGCAGCCGACAGCGAAACGGCCTTCAATGAAAGTTAGCTGCGAAATACGCAGGCTCTCGTGTCTGACGAGTAAGCAGCCGTGGACCAGCAGCGACAATGCCACCAGGGCGCGGAGGGCTGAGGTCTGGCACGGTAAAGCCTTACAAAAATGCCGCAAAGCCCGAAAACAGCGCTGTGACATGGTGACCGAAACCGTCATTGAGTAAATTTGGTAGTCGCCGGCGCCTTGTGGTTAGGTTCTTGAGCCAAAACGCTAGAGAAGACAACCTCAAACAAAGAGGCCTGGCGGTTGTTGGGGGCCTGCCTATACTCAAAATCCCTGAGAAACCTCGTTAAAATGTCCGATGCAAGAGTTAAGACCAAAGCTATGGCGTACGCGAGAACCGACAGGCTCTGCAATCCTGGTCCACTGGTGCAGACGAATAGCATGCAGGCCAGGCTGCTCGATTGGGGCTGAGCGTCAGAATGTACGAACGTGCCTGGGCCCTGGTCTGATGGCGCGCAGTCTTTGTCAGTACGATGGGGCGGTCTGCTGCCTGTCTGAAATCGGAATTCCCGACTAAGGTTCTCGAGAAATAAAGACCCCGGGTGTCAACTCACACTTCGCCCTATACTACAGCAGTCCACGCGACTGTTCTGGCAGGCACGGTATTACGATGGCTTCCTCGCAGCAAACGAACCGTGCATTACTGGAGTGGAAACCGGTCAATGACCTAATGAGTTACTCCCCGTGTGCGCACCAACATTAGCTGCGACCAGCCCAACAGAGAGGCCTTTTGACTCGTAGACACTAGTGACCTGAAAGACTTCCTTGCTGTGATTTGCTGATTGTTGTCGGGAAGTGGAAAGGCCACAGTGAACCTGGCGACTCTTCAAACAGTCATCTTACAGGTCGCTTCATACTTGACTATCAGAGCGACGATGGTAGGAGATTGCCGAGCTTTGCTGATCAGAACTGATTATTTGTTACCAACAAATAATCCCGGCGCTTTCACGAGCATCTGCTGACCTGCTGGTCAAATAACAGTCATACGGCCGGTCAGATTGGCTACATTTTAGTCAGTTTAAGATTTCGTAGGTGTTATGGCAGACTTCAAATAAATCATTTTGACCCAACGGTGAAAATAGGTGCCTCGGTGGGATTCGAACCCACGACAGCAAGGAGAAGGCTTTAGCACAGTCAACGCTCTAGCCACCTGAGCTACGAGGCCCCACCGGACGACGCGAGTTCAATTACATTTCGGTGAATTTTATCAGATTTGGTTGATCCAGACGTTGCAGTAGGTTGGGTGGGTAAACTTGGCCCAAATGTAATTAAAATCGCGTCGTCAGGTGGGGCCTCGTAGCTCAGGTGGCTAGAGAGTTGGCTGTGTTAACGCCTTCCCTTGTTGTCGTGGGTTCGAATCCGACCGCGGTATCGATTTTTTACAGTTGGATCAAAATGGGTTTCGCAGCTGGTTTTACGATAGCAGTAGTGCCAAAACTGGTGACGCCCACGAGTCAGGCTTTGTTCTCGTCCGCACACGCCTAAAAGTCTACCTCTAATTCGCATCTAAAGTGTCAGATGGAAGAGGCCTTTATGTCGCAGAACTTCGATAACCCAGTACCGTCAAGGCTCTGAGAAGAGATATCCAGTCGCGTTTTACGACCCGAGCCGGCGGAGAAGACTGCTCAGTGATTGTCATTGAAGTCATCAGTCTATGGAACACCCGAGAAAATTCTTGGATACACCCTGCGACGCTGCAGTCTGCGGAAGAACTTTGCAGTTGTCTGCTCAGACGGCCTGAAACTGGTCTAGTAATGACGATTCCTTCCGCCAATTCCGGAAGATGAAGGCAAAGTCAGCCAGGGATTATCGGAAGAAATATTGCGTCGAAATAGCGACCCCTTTGGAACAGGCTTCGAACGTTAGCGACACTCGAAAACTCTACTAACTAATCCGCCAAACTAGTGATTAACCCTATGCACTAAGGGATTCCGTTCGCGATGTGAATGGCGACATTATTCTTGACAACTCGACTAAGATCGATTGCTGGCGTGAGCACTTCGGGCATCTTCTCCATTTCGATGACCAGCACATCACATCCTGGCTGTTCTGTGCACTGGAGTTTTACCCCTCCCTAACCTATGCAATGTTCTGCGACTCCCTTCTGAAAAAGAAATCGCCGATGTGATACCAATGTTGTGCAACAAGGCACACGGAGAGGACGGTACTCCTGCTGAAATCTACAAATCTTGTGTCAGCACTCTGGCGCCCTGGCATGATGATGAGATTGAACGAGCGTGGTGAGATAAGTTCGGTCCTGGTGACTGAGGCTCGAGCATCCATGTGCCTGTCTTTAAGAAGGGACAAATTACGAGAACTACCGCTGCATAAGCCTCATTGATGTTGCTACGAAGATCGTCGCTGTTGTCTTTCTTAGACGGTTCCAGACTGCGCATGATTCTAGGACGAGGCCAGATCAAGCCGGACTCCGAGCTGGGCGTGGACGTGCGAACTGCATATTCATCCTGAGGCGCATTTTTAAATTTTGTCATAGCTACCGACAATCGCGACCGTCTGCTTTATTAACTTTGCCGCTGTGTTCGATCCCGTTCACCGTGCGTCTCCGTAGTGGGTAATGTCACTAGACTGTGTACCGGCAAAAATCAGAGCTATGATCAGGACCTACTGCCGCTCCACTACTGCGCGAGTTCTGATCCATAGTAATCTCTCAGGACCGTCTGATATTCAGGCTGGTGTTCGAAAAGGTTGTGTCCTGTCGCCCATTCTGGTCAATTACACCATTGACTGGATTCTAGGGAAGGCTCTACGCGAAATTAACGGTATTGCGCTTGCACGAGGATATCGACTGACTGATCTCGAATACGCTGACGTTATCGCCTTTCTAATTCCAAGCTCTGGTGATAAACAGTCTATGGTGTCATTGGTAAATGAAGTCTCTAAATCCGCCGGATTATCCACAAACGCTGGTAAGATCAGTGTTTTCGTGCTGCATACATGTCCAGAAGACACTCCTCGAGATAAATCGCTGTTAACTTGACGAAGTGGAAGATTTCGAATACCTCACGGTGGGGCTGCTATCGAATGGGCAGCATACGGACGACATTGTCTCCTGAATCGATGCTGCTTGTCGAGCTTTCCCAATCCTCAGGGAGTGCCTTTGGAACCCACGGTACACTTCCATCGGCACGAAGACTCGCGTACGTCGTGAATTTGTCCGGCCAGTCCTTTTCTATGTTCGTGAATACTGGCCTGTATGCGTGGAAGGTGAGCAAAAACTAGAGGTATCTGGCCACCGCTGCTTGACATTCCTCCTTCCAGTGAAGTACACCGACTTAGTCTCAAATGAGACGGTCTGCACTCGCTGCGACGACATCGTGAAGATATCGCCGGTCATATACGAAAGGTAACTGAAGTGCTTTGGGCACGCTCGTCGTCTTATGAAGACACTGAAGTGGTTATTGAACCTTCGATATCCGGTCTCCGTCGTTGGAGAAGCGAATGGGTTAAACTGTCCAAATCCGCAGCCGCCGATCGTCGGGCGTATAGGTACAAATCAAGATATCGGGGCCGGCTAGACCAGGAATGAGCATTCGTACCAAACAGAAGTGCTGTCGACGCACTAATTTCTTCAGGATATCGGAGGGAGAGTTGTGGAGCGCAAAGGAAAACAAGTCTTGCTAAAAGTTGCGAATTGGAGTACAGACGGTATGCGGTAGAGGAAAATGCTGCCGATAACAAGTGAGCCAGTACCTGAGACTGGGCGTCATGTATAACACTGTAGCAAGACAGACTGCTGTTTAAGTTTCTTAAATCTTCAGTTGACGGCTCACCTAATCAAGTCTAACATGAGATGGATAAGGGTAGTCGTTTGGCGGGTTGAGCCAAACAACGATGTTTCGCGTGCAGACCAACTCTTGGACGTGAACTACAGGGTCACATGTGCTAATTGCCTGTAAACCGACTGTGTGCCAGGCTGTAACATCGACAAGGGCAAGGAAAACGTTGAAGGTCATTTTTCGTTTGCTTGTCGTTAGTAGTTGGTTATACTAGACCCAGACTTTAGATTTAAATAGGAGCCAATTACTCACTGACTTTAGAGCTTTACCGTGGAGTCGGGTGAAGGGGCGGGGATTGGGTAAAAACTTGTCTGCTTCGGCAGAAAATATTCAAAGTGACGTGAGGCTGATAATCACCAAACCGGCCCGGTCAAAAGACGAAATAAGGGTATTGTTATTTGCCGGAATACTCAGGCAGAACAGAGCGCCCGTATTCCGTCTTCTACCTAGGTCAGACCACTGAAGGCTGTAATCCTGCACGTGGTAGATCCTGTGGGAAGCATAAAGTCAGTCGGATTTTAGAAGGCGTCCCGTTCACGTTTTTAAAAGTGCGATAGGTTTTCAGCTGGACAATGCAACCAGAGCAAAGTAGCGATGCAGTAAAATTCACAACGATAATTTGAACTAATGTCATGAAGAGGCAGATATCTGATGAGTCACAAACCCGCTATGAACCATTTTTAAAACAGAACACCTACGGGCAGGGAAAGAAAAGGGGGAGCATCACATGTTTAGGGGGCAAGTAAGTAGAAAACTGATTCCCATATTAAATGTTGCCTTTCATGGAGCGTTGAGACTGGTTTGGGTTACCTGCGAAAGATTGGCGATAAGGGAGTCTGCCTCCTCCTGGCGGCCGTACATGACGAGTGCGATGCCAAGGGCTATGCCTCGGATGATTTTCTCGTGTGAAGTCTCCTTCGCATAGCCCAGAAGGTCCTCCACAGCGACAGATGAGCCAGTGCCCAGCATGACTAGGCCCATAGCCAGACCGGCAGCCTCACCTGCGAGAAGGACAGATGGGCAAGTTTAGATGATAAATAAAGTGCTTGGTATGGAAGAACAGGGATTTAAAAAGGGCACATGTTACCTTTCATAGAATCCTAGAAACCTTCAGGTATGACAGCGGGACAAGGAAAGTGGCGTATATGCATTGCAACGTACTACAATATGACTTGTTGGAGGTCTTTACTACTAACAGGGATCATGCACCAGTTAGCAGATCGGCCGTTTTTTCAACACATCTTACTAGTCATCTCAACAGTGAAGGATTGGACGAGAGCGTGGAACGGCTAAGATTACCAGCCTCTCCTCTGAATCATCCCTACCTACTAAAAGACGTGAACGGTTCAAACCGGTCCGCCGGAAGACATTCTCTTCCGTTCAAAGAAAGATGTCCATCGTGTGTACGGTGTTTCCGGAAACGGATGCAGTAGCTGCACTGGGGGATTGGGATATCATTGACTGGCCTGCGGTCTAGTTTGAGTTAACAAGACTAGAAGTGCACATTCCTCCCTGCATTCCGTCTCTACACGTGTAGCCGTCAGTGTTATGGGGAAAATAGTGCAATAACGGCCCACCTGTGACAGCATCATCCTGATAGAGATTCAATTTGATCTGATCGTAGACATCTTCTCTGCCTGTTCCCATAGCAGCGAGACCGAGGCCAAGGCAGGCGCCATGACGGACAGGTTCCGCGACGGCCTCCTTGCATTGGGTGAGGAGGTACTCTTCAGGCGTGACGAAAAAGAGTCAAATTAGATGGTTTCATGGAAGAAGAGCTATGAGTTAAAGGGCGATCTGTCACTCTTTCTTACCGGTCATGGTACCACCATGGTTAGCGTGAATGAGTCCTAGGGCAAAAAGGCCTCCACCTTCAGTGTAAACGGAACCGGAGCTTCCGCTTGCGTCTTTCGGCAGGTAGGCCGACATCAGGCGAAGGGCCTCCTTCTCATGACCTGCGAATTAGGTGGACGAACAGGATTTAGATCAGGTCAGCGTGATGTTTAATTATCAATGATTTAGCGGAATAAAACGTACCTTTGTGAATAACGCCTAAGGTAGCCGTGGCTGTAAACTTGGCCCAGTTCACAGCTTTTCCCAGCCAGCTGAGATGGTCACGTAGAAATTGGTCCGACGTAGTACCACAATGCATCAGGCTGTTGGCAATCACGGTGGCATTGTGTGTGACTGAGTTTCGAACTTGCTCCTTAATGCGCTCGAGTAGGCGTAAATCCGCCTTGTTATTCCTTATAAGGAACTGGAGATGAAGTTCAATCACCTGTCGTAGAGACAATAAGAGTGATTTCAAAACCAGACTTACATAATTCAGGATTACGAAAGCGAGGTTTTCAAAGGTGACCAAGTCGTAGAAACAGATAGGCCTACTAGTATCAAACGGTTGAACTTAAACAAACTTAGTAATAAGCGCAAAAGATAAAACACGAGGTGGGAGCGGTAGGTTGGGGTCAGGACACCATCCCAAGGAGTCGATTTGAGTGCTCCATAGGTAGTGGTAAATGTAAGTCTTTTTGTGAAACATAAATGGACGATTGGCGGTCAGCCAAAACCACTTCAACGATCTCATCCACTTTGCTAGCGCCATGAAGGCCGTAAAACTGCATGAACCAGCCAATTCCATGGTGCAGGGTATGAAGGACCAACCTTGTCGCCAGAGAGAATACTGTTCAGAAGTTCTAGGCGTTTTTTAGTAATTTTGTCAGAATCAGAGAGGGTCTTGTCTGCTTCAGGAGCTGCGGCGGCAGCACTGCTGCTGTCAACCTCGGTTTTGGCAGCTGAACCCTCGTCCGAAGTGGTCAATTGCGCTTCAGTCTTTGTCTCTGCTGTCGCATTCTTTGCGTCCGTGTCAACAGGATCCATGAGGCGACCGAGCTTTGCGCTTCGCGATAGCGCGATAGTGACTCGGTGGAGGAACTGCTGAGTAGCATTTTCGTACAGATCGAAACCAATCTGGTATGCTGTTACAGCGGCTTCCTCAGAGCGCAAAAGGAGGGCTTCCAATATGTCTGCAGTGCCCTAGAGACAGCAAAATGAGAAAATGAATAAATGATAAATCACTCTGATTACGAGACACGAGTTCGCGAACAAAGCACAGGAATATTAAGCTGCCACTAGGCAACCCGCTCAAAGCAAGCAAACAAAACCTTGAGTATTTTAAAAGTAGATACGTAGGGAAGCGATTCACAAACGGATGAGGTGTACGATTTGCACCGAGTGGGGTTCTGTGATGTCTGTTTGGGCCTCGTGCCAACAACAATGGGCTCACCTGCTGAGTAGGAATACGAAAAAATCAATCCGTCATGTCCGCATAAACAACACAGGTGAGGTACTTGGAGCAATCTCCCAATTTTACTGGGGAATATTTGAGAAAGGCATAGAAACAAGTCGTTGATGAAAAATCTACTTCCGGCAAATGACGGTAACGAAGGGAGTCAGTGGAGTTAACAGTCTAATTCAGTCAGAAAATGACAGTTATCTTCACTGTCAGATATTATGCAGATCAAGAAGAAGTTCATGCAAAACAGATGAGAAATCAAGAGGGCAAACTGGAGTAAAAAATCAACACGTAATGTGATCCAAAAACAGTAGGGGAAAACGGGAGGTGATCTGGGACAATGGTAAAAAGATAAAGTCGCAGAGGGGAACAATCGTGCTGGTAGAAGGCCCTGATTCCTCAACTATAACTTTGGCCAAGCAGACGACAGGGACTGAAGAGAAATGGACAAGCCACTTCGACGCAAAACTCCTGCTTGGCAACGCCGGTTATGCTATGGGCAAACGTTAATCTTGGTCCTTTAGGAAGCAAACAGACGGTGAAATACAGAAATAATGTAGGGAAATTATGTTAAATAAGGACAGAGTTTAAGCAGCTTACCTGTGGGTTGTCCATTAAGACAAGACATTGGCATATATTGACTGAATCCGCCGGTGACGGCTTTTGGCTGTAGATACCAACAAGAATATTCAACAGACGCTTGCGGAACTTCACGCTGTCCACTAAATTTAGGACCACCTTCAGCGCATAGCGCATCATGTCATCGCGATCATCGGCGCGCGTGATTGCCTCCTCAAATATGTCTTCCCTAGAACGCAGTCGTGGAAAGAAGAGAAGGAGAACATGCAAATATGTGTAAGATTTGCACTACCACTTGCTCTAGAAAAATTCTTTCCAGCATATTATGTAGAATGAGTTACTCAAAAGGTCCGAGATTAAAATACCACCCCAACAAACAAAGCAACGAATCTGACAAAATATTCCAGTGTACTTTGTGAGATAAATGCATGGATAAGGAGCCGTAGTTCACAGAGAATTCGAGCATTGAAAATGGAAATGATTATATAGATAGGAAATTTCATAGAAGGTAAACGGGAAGTAGGTCGAGCCAGGGTACAATGGAATTGAGAAATTAGCTACCTAGTCAGTAGGGGAACAACAACTAAAACCGCTTTTCTGTTATAAAGGAATACTTTAAAATGCTACCTAGTGATCCGACATTCACCCCTCCGGGACCTCACGAAGGAAACCAAAAATACTCAAGGACGGCTTGTCAGCAGGACCGTTTAGGAGACAGAGGACTTTGATGGAATCATCAATTTTTTGAAATTACGTCTTTAAAGTTCCTTCCGCATGTCTGCGAGGGTTGAAATCGCCGAAAGACAACCAACTACAGGATATAATGGTGCGCCAACATCCACATTGAGGATAGAGAGTAATGGTTGGCTGACTCGCGCTATTAGCTGGTTCCATTGCGACTGATCGCCCCAACTTTACATTTAATAATGGTAATGTACTTTCCCTTCACTTCCAACAAGGAGGATCCCGCAGCAGAAACTTTGATTCGCTGGAACTCATAATTAGAAAGTCAATGCGCTTGGTCAAGTTACTACTTTACTATCCATTTAACCTACGGATTGTATGAAGAGGCCTTTACAGAGGATGTATTAACGACAAACTAGACGCGCAATACTAAATGATACCCCGACGAAGAACATCTCAGGGATAGAAAATGATGTACAGAACGACGCGAGTAAAGGAAATAAGACAAGTGAGAGTTACAGTGAATCGGGGAAGCATTTGACAGAGATCCAAACAGTTAGTAAGCAAGTTCCGTGAAGTTCGTGTACTCCGATATGTCTGATCAAGGTTGCTAACTCTGGCTCATAGTCTTTTAGCGGGAGATAGCCCAGTTAATGGTTCCACTAGGTGCTAGTGAAAAAGGACAAACACACTTCTAAAACCAAGTGGCTAACGTCCGCCAATATGCTGCTGAAACAAAAATATCAGCTTAATAACATTGAGTGTCACAGGAGCCAAATTTTCAATACCGAAGTAAAAAAAAATAGGCCTAAATGTGACGAAAGCTATGCGTTTTCAGTCAGAGCAGTAAGTGAGGTCAGCTACATCGAAGATCAGTCGCTCGCACGAGTGCGAAAGCGAACGAGCGTATTGAGTGGTGACTGGCACCATTTCTGTTTTGTACGCCGACCACTTTATTTGCTCAACGACCAAACACTACTCCCTCTTGAAAAGATAGTGGTAATAGAGTTTTGGCATAAGTAATTGGGTAATAAATTTGCCTGTTGTCGCTGACAGCTTCATTCCCCAGAAGGGGTGATATAAACGAACTTACCAAAAGTCTAATAAAAGGTAATACGACTGCTGACTAACCTCCTTGTCTCAATGGCAATGCCAAGAGCCTGTTTGTACTGCTTGTGGGCGAAACAACGTTCAAACATACGGTTGACGACGACTTCTAATTGAAAGTAGGTACTCCCATCACCCTTAGACCACTTCCGGCCAGCAAATTTTAAATCCTTGGCAGAGAGCTTCGCATTCAAGTCAATTTGCTCGACAGTCCTAATGGCAGTGTACTTGTCAATACATTTGGCTGAATTGGAGACATCAAGAAGACAGTGTCAACATACTTATCATGGTCCTCACAAACTCGGACCGGGCATTGGGGTCAAAAAGTTCTTCAGCGCATAACGCAAAGTGTAGGGCGTCATCGTACTCCCCAAGGTTGTAGTAGACTTTGGAAGCCAGAAGGGCTGCCAATTTTTTGTAGGGGAAAGAGTGGTCCTCGTACAATATCTCTATTTTATCAACGGACTCCGATATTTCGGCCCAAAATTCATCTGCAAGGTCATTTAGCCTTTTTAGAGCAAACGCCTAGGAAGATAATACTAAGTAATTTTGGATAACCTTAACGTCCGCTCTGCTGTCCTCCAAAAGTGCAACGAAGCCGGCTGCTGAGGTCAACGCCATCCCCACTTTGTCAAATGACGGCTCTTCACCAAATGAACCGTCAGTTAAGTGAGTTCAAGATCGCCGAATTTAAATTAGTAAGTAGGTCAAATTAAAAATTTGCATTTCTCCAAGGTCCCTAAAGATAGAAGGAGCACTAATACGTAAAACCTTGTCTTTTTAAAAACTGAAGGTGATCTATGCTTAGGCTTGAGCTAAGAAGTCAAAGAAAGAATGGGGTAAAAGACACTGCGGAAAGAAAATTGGACGCGAAAATCTAGGATTCGCGTGTCAGAAATTAAAAAACTATCCAATTTATTGCAAACTTACCAAATGAAAAAGAAACCGATTTGACCAACACAGTTCTACGAAGAAAACTATGAAGAGTGGCTGCTGACAGAACAGCTGAACGTCCGCGACTAGAAATAATGTAAAATGAGCGTTGACGCACCAAATACTAACAGAGATAATGAGGTCGAAATAGCGAATATTAAACACTTGGAGGTCGAGTGTAAGTAGCAGATGACAAAACAGCTGGAAAGGGCATTTGGGAATAGAAACCAGGCGAGAGGGCCAAGACATGGAGAAGTGAATGCCGTGCCAAAAACAATAGTTACAATTTGCTAAATATGGTAGGGGGCGCTCACCGATCGTTCTTACGGAACTCACTGGTTCCGTTCTGTCTAACGATCTCTCTCTCGATCCCCACCAGCAACCACACAGCGGCGCATGATATAGACTGAATGGAATTACCGACAAAGACAAGGGAGACTGGAATGGCCATTTCTGGCTTATTAGCCGTCGTCACCCAGACATGCCAAACCACGAGTGTGGAACTGCCGAAGCTAGAACTCGCAGCTTGTTAGTTAGAAGGCCAACGCCTCTAACCACTGAGCTACGAGCCCGTTGCCTTGTCGATTTCCATCGGGAATATCATGCTAAATATATATGTGGAAATGTCGACGACGCTTAATTTACTACAAAAATCGCGTTTACTAAATGTGGGTTGAAAATAACTGTTTGAGCAGAAAATGCAGTCAGAGACAAAATTTGAAGACAATCTCGTTAGTGAGACCCAAACTGGTCGAAAGTAGCACAAGAACCAGAAATGATAGTAATTCAAATCATCTGGTGCTCGAGCAGGCTTACGCCGTCCCTATGTGTCACTTCCTGTTCTCTTACGTTAGCGTGCGCACGCGCCGTCTGGCTGGCACCCATTTGCCATGTCCTCGTCCGCTCTCTAACTTTCCTTTTTTATACATCCCTTGTTGCATGTTCATGCACCGTGCCCCTCACAGAATGCGCTCTATCGACTCTCTTGGCTGAACCCTCTGTATTCGGCATAAACTAGTAGTCTACTCGTATCTCTCTAACTACCTCCTTGGCTGGACTCGGATGACTGTAAATGATCGCATCTGGGTTCCTATCGCCTGGAGACTAGTTTTCAATTCGCCACTTTGACATTAATGACGCCATCCGGCATATGAATTCTGCCTTGATGATGTCGGTTTCGAGACTTTCACTCAATAACACATACAGGCCAATCCTGACTGACCCGCCTACTTTCCCCTCATGAAATCCGTTATATACTGCCACATACAGGCCGGTCCTGTCTGCTTTTTATGCATTAATGAGCGAGTTTTTTTCCTATAGTATGAATCCGGTCATGCTCATTTTGTTTATATGTTGGGAGTTTTTTTTCACTGCTCGCCTATAATTCTTCGTAACATACTACTTATTCAATAACTATGAATCAAGTATTGTATTAATTCTGTATACCTCGTCTAAAATTCTAAAATTAATGTAAAACTATTCTTACATGCTATGATAGGACTCCCATGAGTTTTGAATGATAGTAATTAGTATTATGTTTAAAAATGTAAGTCGCCGCACTAACCGACGTAACGTATGAGGGAGAGCTGCCAGAATCTTACGAAATACTGTCGGGTGCATCATCGTCGTACACATTTTCTGACGGCTCGAGAACTCATATCGAGTCGTCTTCTTTCTATGACGACGATGATTGCTCGGCGTTCGAAATAGCCAACGCATCAATCAACAAGGAGAGTCTTTTGACGCAGTTAATAGATAAATAAGTAAAATAATTTTAATAAGACCCACCGGCTTTCCATCAAAGCAGATAGCGGAAGGCGAATCAACGCTGCTCCAATCCTTGGACAAGTGGACTGTACGCTCACCACGGCCCACACCCATGTGAGCAGTCTGCTGAAGATTCTCAAACCCTTTCACCCTGAGCTCCCGTCGGACGCGAGCACATTGCTTTGGCAGCGCAAGCAACCCTGTACCGGTTACGGTCATGGAAAATGGCAAGTATGTCCACTTATGCCTGATAAGACAGCTGACTGACCAGTTACGTAAACCCTTTCAACAGTGTCCGCTGGATGAGATAGTTGTATGTCTAGCTATTGAAGGGCTTCCTATTCACGAAAGATTAAGCTAGAGTTTTGGCCTATTTTAGGTGGGATGATGGAGCCCACTGTTAGCACAGTGTTTCTTGTACGAATATATTGTGGCGTAGGCAAGCTCTCGGACGTGCGGGCATTCTGCAAACCGTTAGTGGATGAGTCATCATCATTCTCCGAGGAAGGTTTGCATGTCAATATGATTGACAATACCCTGCACTTCCTGTGATGCTCCAGTTAGGCCTTTATTAAGTAAATTAAGAATACAAATGCATACTACGGCTGAGATAGATGTTACATTAAAAGTTAATATGTGGACAAGGTTATATGCGATAGCATATTTGAACCATTGAGAGAGGATGAGGACTTTTTATTCGTCGCAGACAACCCCTACCGCATTGGCGTGTAATGTAGGAATTATTAGAGCATTTTCTCTCGATCCTCTGCGTTTGGTGTATTGAGGTGTAGTGAAGGAGCTACTTAACTTGTGGCTTCGAGTCCCTAGGGAAACTGTTTTTGGCGGTCGGTTCCAGAATTATCTCAGATTAATGATAGGTTACGTTCCCTAAATTCGTACTTGCTGCGTGAATTTTTAGAGCGTGCTAAGGCAATACGTGGCATGGATATATGAAAAGGTACGGAACTGCGACAGTTTTTCTGTGCACGGGCGAAGTTGTGCTTAATGGTATTCTTCCTGGTAAGTATTCGAAACGTTTCCTACCGCTGTCCGCAGCAGTGAAGTGCTTAGTTCAGGCGCACTCTTGCAGAAAATGGGTCCCGTATTGAGATTGTTTGTGGATAGGTATTCACTCCTGTATGGTAAACGAGAAATGGTGCACAACGTTGACAGAATAGTGCTCCTGCCGGACGATGTCATATGACATGGTCCATAAGATAGCCTCTCATCTTTTCCTTTCGAAGGTTACCTAGGCAAGCTTAAGCCATTGCTCAGGAAGCCATCCCAAATGTTGCAGCAAGTAGTGCATCGGTTTTTTGGACTTCAGTGTATAAGACGCAACGTCAACAAGTAAGCAAGAACACATTGATGGTCCCCAACCACTCTCAGGTGAATCATTTGCGCAGCTTAAAGTGATACAGAGAGGCAACCTGGTCCTTGGCACTACGCCCTCGGATGGCCCCGTAGACAGTGAAAGTGACAGTAAAACGAAAGGTAACCAATATGTTCAGGATATCCGCACATTGTCTACTTTACAAACGAAAAACATTAAAGAAAGTATAATGTTATTTGGATATACATTCGCCATAGTCGCTGCCGAGGAGTTGCCGCAAGCCTACGCACACGTTTGGTCAATGTGTCAGATTCTAATGAACGGCGCGCCTGCGAGGGCTGCGGCCTCTTAAGTCGTCTACTAACTGTCCATATGCTTTGTCTGGCAGATGAGGCCAAGACGCGTGTAAGGCGTCTGATTTTGGAAATTAAGAAAGCGTGAACTAAAATTCAAGAGCTCAGGAAAAGATTATATACAATCGAGCCTGAATTTGCGATGACAATTGTTTGGAGGGCTAGCAACTACTCCTGAATACCCGCCAGATGCCTATTCTAATTAAAGGTAGACTAACAAGTAATTTTAGCGTTTCTGACAGTTGATCCACCAGACCCTCACAGTAGATATAGTCAAAAACCCAGACACACGTTTTGCCTGTGTTGCCACCGTTATATGACGCATTTGAGGCGGCCAAGTCACCCCAGTTTGTCCCCAGTCGTCTCTGCGCGGTTTCCGGCAAATAAACCCAGACGATTGCGAGGCGAATAATTCTTGAAATTGTTGTGGGAAGTGTTTGGATGCGAGTGCCGGGGATATGTATATTTATGCTCAAACCCGATACAGCGAAGAGTCTGGTGGCCGGTAAATAACTTCTTTTCAATAGTCGCGTAATACCTGCTTTTGCACAAAAATGGCATTATAAAAATTATAAACTGCGGATTTACCGTATTCCCATCGCAGGAGTATCAGTAAGCTGAGACACTTGTTCAGTCGACGTTTCCGCTGTTGCATAACGCACCTCCGACGACTGTTGCTACCCTATAATTCGCCCGGAATTTTTGCGCACAGTCCTGATTACGAGCCCCAATATGTAAGAATTGAGCAGTTGTTCGGCCAATCATTGTATAGTTATTGATGGATAGGCCCGAGACGTGATTATTTACGGTCAAATCGGAAATTTAAAAAAATTTCGGTGTAATTTAGTCAAATCTTTCCGAATGAGTACAGAATACATATTATACATACGAAAGGTTTTCAGAGTTATAAGATTTGGTGATGGCGGATCCACTGAACTTGTCGCGGCTAAGCGGTGATGGTGTATGCTCAGTGCGCCACACCTTCAGACCATAACCCAAGTTATTAGAAGCGGGACGCCAGTTGGGTTGAAGATTTTATTCTGTACAGATAGGGGAAAGTCGGCAACCGAACGAGGACGCATCCGGCGCCGCAGAGGCGGCGTCCGCTAGAGCGACGAGCCGTGTGTAGCCGAAGTTCGCCACTGCAATAGTGTCGTGGCTGATTATTTACGCTAGTGCTCTGGACTGTACCCGCCAATCAGCGAGATGAGCTACGTTGACCGGCTCCGAGCCAA